CGAGGAACTTTAGTCGATAAATGCATAATGATAAATGCATAAGGATAAAAGAGATACTAGATCGACAATTCAAAAACGGAGGAATAATTTAGAAACCCTGCGATCGTAATGTAGAGTAAGATGTTCAGTGTCCTTAGGGCCACTGACTGAGAGAAGAGGGAGACTGTATTACTAGAAAATGAACAGAATCCCACACTCTACTGGAAGGACATAAAATACCCCATTAATTCAAAAAAGAAAACATCGAAAACAATATGGAAAGTCGATATTTAAGAAAATGAATATTCTCAGTGCCCATCTCACACATTATATGTAATTGTTTTTCTTTATTATATAGTTCGAATGTATTTACGTAAACATCGGGATATCTTTTTACGAGATGATTTTTGGCTGTAAAATATGTCCGTTGTGGGATTGGCGCCTCAATCAATAAAATGGTTTATCTAGGAATAAAAAAAATCCGATATATAAAGAAGACAAGTATAAAGGTCAATAAATTCTTTGACTTTCTTTCTATTTTTCTTTGCTTTTTTTCTTATGTGATTTTTATTTCCTTTGCCTTTTTCTTTTGTGATTTTTATTTCCTTTGCCTTTTTCTTTTGTGATTTTTTTTTCTTTATTTTTTGTCTTTTTTTCTTCTGCACTTTGAGTTTCTTTTGTTTTCTATCCCTCTTCCTCGATTTGATCTGAATTTCTTTCTTTCGCGATTTGATATGTCAATTTCTTTAATTCTATTTTTCATGCTCGATTTGACATGTCAGTTTCGTTTTTTTCTTTCTTTCTTTCTTGCTCGATTTGACATGTCAATGTGTTTCTTTCTTTCTTGCCCGATTTGATATGTCAATGTCTTTCTTTCTTGCTCGATTGGACATGTCAATGTCTTTCTTTCTTGCTCGATTTGATATATCAATTTCTTTCTTACTTTCTTTCTTTCTTTCTTTCTTTCTTTATTTCTTTCTTTCTTTCTTTCTTTCTTTGTTTGATATATCCATGTCTTTCTTTTTTTGCTCGATTTTTTTTCTTTCTTTCTTTCTTTCCAAATTGCTCGATTTAATACGCCATTTTTTCTTTCTTTCTTTCTTTCTTTCTTTTCTTTGTTTGATATATCTTTTCTTTCTTTCTTTCTTTCTTTCTTTCTTTTCTTTCTTTCTCGGGTTAATGTGCCAATTTATTTCTTTCTATTTTGCTCGATTTGACATGTCAAAGTCTTTCTTTCGTTCTTGCTCGATTTGATATGTCAGTTTCTTTCTTTCTTTCTTGCTTGATTTGATATGTCAATTTCTTTCCATCTGGTTCGATTTGAAATGTCAATTTCTTTTTTCTCTCTTTCTTTCTATCCTTCTTTCTTTCTTTCTTTCTTTCTTTCTTTCTTTCACGGATTGATATGTCAATTACTCTCTTTTTTGCTCGATTTAATATGTCAATTTCTTACTTTCTTTCTGGCTGGATTTGATATGAGATATTTTTTCTTTCTTTCTTTATTTCTTGCTCGATTGCCTATGTCAGTTTTCTTCTTTCTTTCTTCCACGACTTGATATGTCAATTTCTTTCTTTCTTGCTCGATTTGATATGTGAATTTCTTTCTTTCTTTTTTTCTTTCTTTCTGTTTTTCTTTCTTGCTCGATTTGATATGCCAGTTTCTTTCTTTTTTCTTCGATTTGATATGTCAGCATTTTCCTTTTTTCTTGCACGATTTGATATGCCAATTTTTTCTTTCTTTCTTTATTTCTTTCTTTCTTTCTTTCTTTCTTTCTTTCTTGCTCGATTTTATGTGTCAATTTCGTTCCTTCTTTCTTTTGATTGGATATGTCAGTTTCTTTCTTTCTTGCTCGATTTGATATGTTCATTTGGTTCTTGCTTTCTTTCTTGCTCGATTTTATATATCAGTTTCTTTCTTTCTTTCTTTCTTTCTTTCTTTCTTTCTTTGCATTTATATACACACCCGCACCGTAAGGGAGAGACAAAGAAAGAAACAGAGAGGCCAGAGACAGAGAATGTGCAATAAAATTATTTGGTGGTGGTAAAAAAAGATATCGTTTGAACCATTTTCCGAAGTATTTTTGCCGAGTTTTTTGCATGTATTTATGCTCCCTTCTTTATTTGTGTTCTTTGCACCAGAAAACAGCCAGCCATTTGATGATCGGGGCTCATATAGTATTTTTTTTTAATTTTATTTTAGATTTCTATCTACACAGACAAAGCATCCAACAATTTGAGATTGAAAAAAAAACTATATCAGGATCACAGGAACATACTCCATACACCCATGCCTTAAACTCACTGATAGTTTGCCGATAAAACACCTGACCACCATTTCAACCGAATGGATTCCTTAAGAAAGTACCTTGACCTCAAAGTTCTGCACTGTGCAATTCAGACTGAACTTATATGCAATATTAGGATTCCTCACAAATGCAAAAGTGGCACAACTCTTTATACAAACTTAGAGAGAACAACAACAACGTCACAACAGAGATATACTCGGAAGGGTTTAATATAAAATCCAGCAGATGTTAACGGCTTCAGGACGAAAAAAGAAAAAAAAAATTTCCTGACCGTAGTATTTGGTACACTTATTTATTACCCCGCGTTAAAAAATTAGAACACATTTTGTTGCAATAATATATATATATATATATATATATATATATATATATATATATATGAAATAATAATAATAATAATAATAAAAATAAAATAATAAAAAAGGCTCAAACACTAATATTCTATGGTCAAACCTACAAATTTTGAATTTGTAGGTCTGATGAATTGGATCGTGATTATGATTCCAATGTGATTAATTATAACCATGGAATATTAGTCTTTGAGCCTTTTATATTATATTCTTACTCTGTCTTAGACATTGAGTTCCACCTGATTCTATCCTCTTGGAATTTATAATTATAATTTATATATATATATATATATATATATATATATATATATATATATATATATATATATAAAATATATATATATATATATATATATATATATATATATATAATAATATTATATATATTTTATATATATATATATATATGTGTGTGTGTGTGTGTGT